TCAGCAGAGGAGCTGGGATGCTGTGCTGTGTCTGCACATCCTAGGCGGATGCTTCCCAAGGATAGTCAGAGTTTTCATACCAGGCTGGCCCGGGGACCACTGAGCCAGCATCTCTAACGGATGCCCCGAGGGATGACCTCTGAACCCGGGAATGTTCTCCAGACGCAGTTCCAGCTGAACCCGGGAGATGTGCGTGTTTACGGTGCTGTTTTCTCTTTCTTCCCAGGCAACGAAGATCGCTTACCACCGGCAGCGTCTTTTCGGAGGAAGCGGCTGGCACGGAGGCCGGGCTACATGAGAAGCACAGCTGGGCCCCGGATCGGGTTCCTCTCCCCGCCAGTGGGCGCCCTGTTCCGGGCCCAGGGAGGGGTGCGCAGTGAGGAGTCCCACCACGCTGAGTCCAGGGCCGGGCCGTGTGGCCTTGACCCTGGAGGCCAGTGGCGAGGTCCCTCGGTTGGGATCCCCGTTCCCAGGAGCACAGCAGCCTCGGCTCTGACCTCCGTGGGCCACCGAGGCCTGGCTCTGGTGGCCGTGAGAGGAAGCCCAGGGCTCCGTGGGACTCAGCCCAGGGCTGGCACCACCCTGCCCAAGAGGCTCCCCAGGCCGTGTGGCCCCGGGGACGCCGGGTGTCCGGGGGAGCTGCCATCCATGGACAGTCACGAGGCCCCAAGCCCTCGCCAGGAAGCAGCCTGGACCAAAGGCTGTCTGTCCCCGGAGGAGTTGAGTGGCCCCAAGGCCCCCTCCCCCGCTGCCGGCTCTCAGGATGTCTTCACGTCCAGCTTCAGTTTCATTCGCCTCTCCCTGCGTTCCGCTGGGGAACGGGGAGAAGCAGAAGGCTGCCCGCCATCCAGAGAGGTCGAGGCCCCGCGTCGGAGCCCCGAGGAGACGGAGGCCAAGGCTGCCAGCTTGGACGGAGCCCGCCAGCACCCTCGGGTCCTCCCCTCCCGCTTTGCTCTCAAGGCCCCTCAGGACCTGTCAGACGCTGCGCAGACCTCGGGGGGCGGCCCCAGGCTGGAGCGTGAGACGCTTCCCTTGTTGGACACGGACGCCACCTCCTCCCGCGCCCTGGACCCCTCGTGGTTTGAGGGCGGCAGCTCGGGGGATGCTCTCCGTTGGGAACCTCTGCTTAGCAAATGCGAGCTGGCACTGTTGCACTGCCTGCAGGGCCAGCAGAGGCGGCTGGAGGTGGGTGTCTTCCCAGCCTGTGGGCTGGTGGTGGTCACGGCTCAGATTAGTTCTGGACAGAGGGCAGGAAACAGCACTCTGGCACTCCCCGCTGGCACTCCCCGCTGGCAGCTCCTTTGGCGGCTGGCTGCAAAAAGATGTTGCCTCACTGCTGTCTCTTCTCTTTCAGCTTGAACTCGAATCTGTTCTCATTTTCTCTGTCCCTTAGATGCTTAGGTTCGTTGCCTGTTGGGCTGCAGGTCCTCTGCAGTATCTAGCCTGAGCGATGCAGGGTTAGCTCAGCTGAGCTTTGCTTTGAAACAGGGGGTTGGTGCCAGGGAGCAGGGGAGATGCAGCTGGCTGGTGTGTGGACAGGGTTGAGGGATATAAACACAGTGTTGCTCTGAACTGGCGGTGATCCAGAGCTGCTTCTGTGTTTACAGCACTCATGTTGTACTGTAGCCGTGGGAACTCCTGACATAGAGCCGGGAGACTTTGTTTCTGGTCGCTAAACCTCTCAGCCCCTCAGTTTCCTTATTTAGGGCCGATAACACCACACGGGATTGTTCTGTGGTTCAAGTGGGAATGTAAGTGCTTTGGAAATTGGGACAGGACGTATAGATGTCAGTCCTAGCATCATGATGTTGCTGTCTACCCAGTTATCTGCGGGGTGGGTACACCTGGGAAGTAGGCAGGGGTGTTCTACGCCGAAGAGTTCCCAGAGAAACCCGGGCAGAGATGCTTTGTGGTGACCCCTTGGCTCGTCCTGTTGAAAGACTGTTTTCCTTCTGGGGTGTGTGCATGAGTATGTGTGTGCATGTATATGTGTGCATGCGTATGTGTGTGCGTATGTGTGGGCACGTGTACGTATGTGCGCGCGTGTGTGTGGCGTATGTACACGTAAGCAGGGGAGTAGAGCCCATCTCATCAGGATTTGGAAGGAGTACCTGAAAATGTGAGGCTCACGTTCATTCCCAGCAACTGATCTCATTGACCCTCCATCCCTTACCTGTGGCCTGATGTTCCTGGCCCCGTCCCTGTTTTTCCTGTCCCAGTCCAGCCATCGATTTCTCACCCAGGGAGATAGTGCAGCCGGGCCAGCGTGGGGGTCTCTGTTCCCAGGTGGTGCGTGGAATCTTTGAGCCAGACGTGTTCCGAACTGATGCCACTGTCTTCCCCACCAAACCCGCTCTAACGGGCCTCGCTGTCGATCTGTGATTGTCGATTTGAGTTAATACCATCCATCCAGCTCCTGAGAGGAGCTGCAGCCTCTTCGACACCTCCCTCCACCTTGCTGCCCACCTCTGCTCCGTCTCCAAGCTCCGTCAGTCCTGCAGCTAACGCGCTCTCGCGGTCACGGCCACGGCCCCTGCCTGGTTCAAAGCCTTATCTTTCACTTGGGTCCTGCAACAGGTTCCTGATGTAGTTACCTTCCTCCAGTGTCTATCTTCCCCAGTTCACCCTCCGCGTGGCCAGTGTTATCTTCGGGAACACTGCTGGGATGGCGTCATTCCTTGGCTTAAAGCCTTGGGTGGTTTGTTGCTTCTCTCGGACAGTCTCCAAATTCCTCATCCTCATAATTGAGACTTTTCCTGACCTGTTCCAGCTGCCCGGCTATCCAGATGCCTTACTGCTGCCGGCTCAGCCACCGGGGTCTGCTTCCTGTTCCTGTGCCTCTGCCCTCTGCCCGGAATGACCTTCCTGCACTGTGCCACCTGCCCAGCTCTCCTTTTCCCTTTTGGTGTGACTTCAAAGCCACTTCCATGTGAGACCTCTCTTACTGCCTGAGACCAAATGATTCCCTCCATTCTCTTCCGTTCCCACAGCCCTTTGCACGTGCCCCGTTACAGCACTCGTCACGTCCATAATCCTTTGTTTGGGGTCCAAGTTCCTCACTTGACCACGAGCACCTTAGCTACAGGTCACTTTGCTGAGACATTTTTGGATGCCTGATGCCTCGCATACTGCCTGGTGCTTGATTAACTTTTAGTTTTAGTGAAATAATTTATCTTGCTAAGATGGGACACAGGTATCTAATTGACAGATTTCTTGGATTGACTGTCTGAGGCATAAGGAGAGATGCTGAGAGCTGCGCATACGGGGATCCAGACACTCAGTGGAGGTTTGCACCATTGTGCTTTTCAGACTCTAAATGCCAATTTCCAACACTTTATTTCTGTAAGCTTTAAAAAGAAATCTCGGCAACATATCTGCATTTCTCTGTTTCAAACATCCAAGTTTTGACCCAAGTCAAGCAAAAGTAGAATGTGGTTATGAAGACTAGCTTCCCTACCTCCCAAATAACTAAACAAACAGAAACTTGCTTGGCAATGGGTCTGCTGCAGTCAGTTCACAAGATCTGGCCCCCTGCGTTTTGGTGGCACCAATAGTTTTTCCCTTCCTTTTGACTCTTCTTACCCAGATGTAGATCGTGTGCTCCTGTGAACCTAGGAGTTTTGGTAAATTGGAGTCTGTGAAACCCTGAGTAGATGTGCTCTCTGGGGGCCCAGCTGTGCCACGGGTTCACCATGCCAGTCTCTGCACTACCGAGACACCGGGGGGCCCGGGAGCTGGAATTCCAGGGTCTGTGGCTGGGGAGAGCCACCTTGACTCACCTTTTGGATTTCATGATTTTTAGTTTTGAAAAGAAATGAAACCCGCCCTAGATATAGCTCTTCTTTTCTCCTTGATTGCCCACATGCAGCTTTTCAAAATGAATAATTGGTCATAACCCACTGCGGAGTTGTTTTGTGGGGTCTTGGTTACTGCTGGGTCACCCGTGGGCTTGCACTCCTGGCAGGCTGGTGGGACTGCCTGGGTGGTAGCCCGGCGCTTTCCTTTCCTTGCTGTGTGACCTGAGGTCATTTGCTTCACTGTTCTGTGCCTCAAGACGCTCTTGTAGAAGGTGGAGGTAACCACAGCCCCCTACCTCATTCGATCGTCGTGAGGATTAAAGCGCTCGTCCATGTGCGGGGCTTCAGACCGGTTCTGGTACCTAGCAAGAAACCAGAATATTGCTCATTATTAACATTAGAGAAATAGCTCAGATTAGGAGAATTTGAATTCTAATTTGAATTAATTCAAATTTGAATTCTCCTAATTCAAATTAGGAGAATTTGAATTCAAAAAAGAATTCAGTCGTCTCCCCACAGTTCAAATTAAACTCGTATCTTGTCTCGAATGGTCGGCTCTGGACACGGTTTATCTGTTGTTTAGGTATCTTTGTTTATGGTCATCCAGCACCTGGACGGCGAGAAACATGATGCTCTTCCCAGCGATTTGAATGTCTGATGTGTGGAAGAGTGACGACCTTGCTTCAGGGCGGTGGGAGTGACAGAAGGGGACTCGGGTCAGGGTGTAGGACTAACAGGAAGGCAGATTTTGCTTCAGGTGGAGGAAGAGGTTCCTGACCGTGGAGTTGTGTGTGATGAGGGAGACCTTGCTTTTTCCGTCATGTTTGTGCGGAGACCCCAGATTGCTCATTTGGGCTACAGGGCTGGGGAGAGGGTTGGGCTCTTCCAAAACATCCCTTGAAAGATGGGGATTCTAGTGTTCCGGCACCTTTCAGATATTATATTCTACTTGCTTCACCCCCTTTCCCCTCTCCTTAAGTAAAAATGCAAATCTCAGGAATTTGAGTTTTAGCTCCTTTTAAATACAGTCCATCCTCCGTACTGGCGGATTCTGTATTTGGGAATTCACTTACTTGCTCAGATTTATCGAAGACCAAAGTCAGTGCTCACTGTACTTTGCTGGTCGTTTGTGGACATGGACAGAATGGCTAAAAATTTGAGCCACCCGACATGCAGTTTCTAGTTGAGGTCTTGTTTCAGCTCAGACTGTAAACTAGTGTCCTTTTGGTGGACTGTTTTTTTTTCTTTCACATCTTTATTGGAGTACAGTTGCATTACAGTGGTGTGTTAGTTTGTGCTGTACAACAAAGTGAATCAGCTATACGTATACATATATCCCCATATCTCCTCCCTCTTGCGTCTCCCTCCCACCCTCCCTATCCCACCCCTCTAGGTGGTCACAAAGCACCGAGCTGATCTCCCCGTGCTATGCGGCTGCTTCCCACTAGCTATTTTACATTTGGGAGTGTATATATGTCCATGCCACTCTCTCACTTTGTCCCAGCTTACCCTTCCCCCTCCCCGTGTCCTCAAGTCCCTTCTCTATGTCTGCATCTCTATTCCTGGCCTGTAAATAGGTTTATAGGTTCATCTGTACCATTTTTCTAGATTCCACATATATGCGTTAATATACGATATTTGTTTTTCTCTTTCTGACTTACTTTACTCTGTATGACAGACTCTAGGTCCATCCACATCTCTACAAATGACCCAGTTTTGTTCCTTTTTATGGCTGAGTAATATTCCATTGTATATATGTACCACATCTTCTTTATCTATTCATCTGTCGTTGGGGACAGGAAGCTCAGTTCAGTGCTCTGTGATGACTCTCCATAGTGGATGTATCAGTTTACATTCTCACCACCAGTGCAGGAGGGTTCCCTTTTCTCTGGTGGCCTTTTTTTTTTTTCTTTCACATTTGGTATAAAGTATTAAAAAAAAATTTATTTGTTTTTATTGGAGTCTAGTTGATTTACAATTTCGTGTTAGTTTCAGGTGAGCAGCAAAGTGATTCCGGTTTGTTTTTTTTTTTTTTTTTTTTTTCTTTTTTTGCGGTACGCGGGCCTCTCACTGTTGTGGCCTCTCCCGTTGCGGAGCACAGGCTCCGGACGCGCAGGCTCAGCGGCCATGGCTCAGGGGCCCAGCCGCTCCGCGGCATGTGGGATCCTCCCGGACCGGGGCATGAACCTGTGTCCCCTGCATCGGCAGGAGGACTCTCAACCACTGCGCCACCAGGGAAGCCCCCAAATCAGAACTTTTAAATGTTTAAACTTCATGTTTCTTCGTCCCACATTCCTCGTTACCCCTCTGACCTCATCTCCTACAATTTCCCCTTTAACCAAGCCTCTCCAGGCCCGGTGGCCTCCTGCTTTACTTTGCTGAGCCCAGAGCGCTACTGCCCCGAGCCTTTGTGCCAGCTCCTCTCTCTCTTGGAACGTGTTCCTCCCGGAGAGCCTCACGGGTCACTCCCTAACCACGTATAAGCATCTTTGCTCAGATGTCACCTTCTCAATGAGATTTTACTGACAATCGCAACCCCACCGTCTGCCAGCATTCCTGACCCCCCTGACGTGGTTCGACTTTTTCCTTCTTTCATAACGCTAATCCATTTCTAACGCTCCATAAAACTTACTTATTATGTTTATTTTTTTGCCTTCCTACACGAAATTGTAAAGCTAGAGGGCTAAGAATTTCGTGCTGTTATCTGCAACCCCTCAAACAATGCCTGACACTTAGAGTAAATGTTTGTTAAATGACTCGGATCTTGTGAATAAGTACAAGTACAGGTGATGATGGCCAGAGAGAGGAAGGACTTTACACATGGACTGGCGGGGGTGACACCTGAGCCAGGTGTGGAAGGAGAGGTAGGTGTGAGCTGGCAAAGGATGGGAAGAAGCAGGTTTTCAGGGAGCAAGCTTAAATCCACTCATCCATAGGCTAAGAATCTCCCTGCAGAAAATCCCGGGGCCTCCTGTTGAGAAGAGAAATAATTACAAATGAACACGTTGATGATTCTCAGACAAGTGATGGGATCGTTGAGTCCACATGCGTGTTAAGTAACACAGTGCCCTTTTCTGTAATGGAAGGGGTGTGAACCATAGCACGTCTTTGGTAAAGTCCTTCTTTTCATTCTTGCCTCGCCCTCAGGACACCCTGTCAAATTGAAGTTCATGCTTTTCTTCTCTTGGTTTCTCTTCTAACGTTGGTGTGTTTACTTCCATAATTTTAATGTGTTTTGAACAGGAACCATTTGGTCAGGTCAGGAAATTTGTATTCCTTTTTACTATGCATTTTTCACACAGGTAAGGGTACAGCGTGATGTTTTTGTTTAAAATAACATTCTCTTTTTTGTGGATTTTATGCTCAAATTACACTTTTTCTCTGTATAACCTTTTTTGGAGAAACAAATGCATCTGGCATCGAAAAAAATGTACATCTGTGGTTCTTTTTTTAAAGGAGAATAAAGTGGTTCAGCTTCGGAGTAGTTTCTAAGTGTTCTTAGCTTTAGCAAAATAAGTTTGCGTGAATGCGATTGTAATTTGGTTTTCATTTTTTCCCCCTTCAAACCAACATAGGTAAAATCCTTAAGATTAACGCTTCAGAAACTTCAGGAAAAAGCGGTTGAGGAAGATGATTATGATAAGGGTGAGTTTTACTTTGCTTATTGATTCTTTTTTCCTTTTTTCCATAATGTCCAATTCCTCTTTCCC